GCTACATGCTCCTCGACAGTCCTACTAAAAATAAGTACGTCATCGAGGTACAAGATGACAAACTTATCCAAGTAGTCATGAAATATCCGATTCATAGTGTTGCAAAGGCCGAAAGGCATGACCACAAACCCTTAGAGACCGTACCTGGTCTGAAATGCGGCTCTGTGTTGATCCTCGGGCCGGATTGCGGTCTGATGGTACCCGGACTTCAGATCTATCTTATTGAAGTACCGACACCCTTGCACTCTATCTAGCAAATCGTGGATGCGCGGTAGGGGCTCTCTGTTCTTGACAGTGATGGCATTGAGGCCCCTATAGTCAATGCACATCCTCAGTGTCCCCCCCTTTTTCGGTACGAATAGGACTGGAGATCCATAAGGAGAAACACTAGGCCGGATCCAACCCATCTCTACGAGTTCCTTGAGTTGCCGGCGAAGCTCATCAATCTCGCCTGGAGACATCCGATAGATCCTACTCTTTGGGATGCTAGACCCTGGGATAATCTCTATCGCGTGGATGACCTCCCTCTCAACAACCCCTGTAGGCTCTTCAAATAGATTAGGGTACTTGGCAACTACTCCCACTATCTCCGACGGCGTTTTCACCGGCCTAGCCTCAGTCCAAACGAATCAGGCCCAGGGCCACCGACAATTACCAGTGCCCAACTGCCCGCTGTCTGCGTTGGGTCTATGCTGCGTATGTCGCCTAGGGCCTGACTTAGATACATTCGAAAAAGGAGGCCAGGCCCTGGGCGTCTTCAACAAACTGGCGCTGCGCACTGCCTGAATTTTTTTTTCTCACTTTGTACAATTCAGCAATGGTGGCTGCTCTCCTGGCTTGCTTCTGGTAATACTGCAACGAGTCAATGGAATGATGGACTGCCACCCATACCATTGAGCTGGAATCCTGGTTTGCCACCTATACGGTGGAGGTGTCTACCGAGAAGAAGGTATATATCAAGGAGTCTCTCGAGCGCTAAGGAGCAAGTTGAGGGTCTATGCGTCACACTTGATCCGTACGAAAACGACGTTTTGTTGCGCTTGCAAGGCAAAGGTGATATTATAGACTCGAGCGAAGCAAGTGATCGGTACCTAGCCGAGATACTATCTAGAGCTTGCGAGCATCGACAACAGTGGGATAACTCAGATAATCATTTTGCAGATTAGACTAATCATTCCCCGCCCTAGCTGTGCTAATAAACTGCCTGCTTTTTTAAATTTGTTAAATTTTGGTCGTAATCGTTATGTAGAATAGACATCCGCCTCATATCAATGAGTGGTTGGTGAGCATTTTTCTGTGTCTCTAATAGTTTTCAAAACATAACATCCGGATACTGTTTTTCAACATTAGAATTTTAAATTGATCGGTTATATACGGTGGCACAAAGTAATACACTCTCCTCGTGCAAGGCATAGGCCTCGATAAGCCCTACTTGGCCCCTATTTGCAACAGGTCGGCCGCCCTAAGTGAAGGCAGGCCCGACAGACGACAAGAGGCCTACTTTGGACTACTTCGCATCAGTGCAGCAACACCAAGGAGATCGCCGTCAAAGGAACATATTAAACTTTATCAAGTGGGGAATGATCAGAATCCGTTTGTATGAGACAGTCGTATACTTGATAGTGATATATGTAATAAAGGTCATGTAGGTGGATAGTGGAAACTCGTTGGATTGGAAGGTTGTCAATGTTGGGACATGAAGGACGGGGGTTGGTAACTAGTAAACATCTATCACATCTGTAGGACCGCCAAGCATTTATTTACTAAGAAAGATGTTGAGGGGGAGGTTTATTTTTCAGCAAATATATCATGAAGATGAAGTGTGTCATGAGTAGGCAATCGGATCCTGTACAAGAGTACAAAACAACTCGTCATATTGAAATGTATATTGGGGCATTGGCGTCCAGGAAAGCGTTGTGTTATGTAAAGGACGTAAATAAATAATATAATGTTGCCATGGGACCTCGCTCCACTGCTTTACAAATGTGCAAAATGATAATGGATCTTCCGCTATAACTTGGAAAGATACACTGTCATATTTCCGTTTTTCGTGAATGTGAGCAGTAGTGAACCGAGGTCCATGGTCCGAACAAAGTTGGCAAGTTTAATTGAGCCTGTCAAAAATAAACGAAGACATGTGCAACAGTACCAAAACGTTTGGGGCCACAGGCCAAAACCATGTAAAAAATGCCACACTCGCATCAGAGCTTGGCGAACAATGGGGGCTCGATGCTCGTGAACTTTGTCTCACCTTTATTGGTGCCTCAATATATAAATAAGTGAAGGGCACACGCACTAATATTATACCTACTGCATATGCGGTTCGAGGGGCACCAATGGCATTGTGCTTCCTACATATGATAAGGGTGGGCTGTACTACATTGACATATGCGATTGGGTCTCTGCACGAACATCGAACACTTGTGCAACTGATCAAAACAGTTGGCGGCGTATGCCAAAAGAAAAACAAAAATGCCCCACTCACATTCCGGCAAAGCTTGGTGCGCAGAGGAACCCTCCTGGTAGCTCCTCCTTTAAATAGTATGTGTGTCTTTTATTTTACACCAGTACCCCTTACTTACGCAGGTGAAGCCGCGCTGACCCATCTTGTGTACTCAGAAAGCTCAATGAATGACAACTCACAACGAGGTAGCCATGTCACACAACTAGACAAAGAGAAGAAGAACAGTGAAAAGAGGAGCCTAACTCAAGAATACAACCAAATCAGGCAATGCTCATGTCTCTCCTCCCACTTTTGTTGCCAGGCTCTCCTTCTCCTCAAGCGCCACCACACAATGCCTGCACGAATTCGCACTTGTCGCGGTTGGCTTTGTACTTGGCCTGTCGTAGCCGATCCAAAACGGTGCGCAGGTGTTCCACATGCTCCTCCAAACTCCGGTTGTACACCAGGATGTCGTCGAGGTAGATAAGTACGTATCGATCCAGCATGTGTTGGAACTCCGTTGTCATAGCCGCTTGGAAAGTGGCCGGGGCATTCTTAGGCCAAATGGCATAACCAGTCATTCGAAATGCCCATATCGCGTTTTAAACGCGGTCTTGTAGCGATCCTCCTTCCGAATCTCGAGTTGGTGATATCCCGGCTTGAGATCCAGCTTGGAGAAGAACTTGGCGCCGCCCAGTCGTTTGAGAAGGTCGTTGATGCGTGGGAGAGGGCCGGCGTTTCTGATCGTCTGCGTGTTGAGCTTGCGATAATCGATGCACAACCGCAAATCCTTGTTCTTCTTCCGGACGAAGAGAACAGGAGCACCGTATGGCGATGAGCTAGGCCGAATCCAGCCTTTCTCCAGAAGGTCGTCGAGTTGTGCCCGAAGCACACTTAACTCTTCCTCGCTCATTCGGTAGATGCAACCGCGCAGAGGTACGACCCCCTCCTCGAGGATGATCTCGTGGCGGATGGGTCGACCGGTACTACTCCGTGCGGGCCTTCGAACACGTCGCCGTAGGCGTCGAGAAGCTCGGTGATGCGTGGATCTGAAGAAGAGTCCGTCGATGAAGCGTCATGGGGCGGGAGGGTGTAGAGAAAACACACCCCCATCTCCTCGATGTCATCTCTAATGATGGAAGCTCGCATGCTTGCGGCGGATACCACGTGACAGCTGACTGAAGGGTGAGGAGGAGCTACCCTGCATGGGACTAGTACTCCGTTCCGATCACGAACGTGAACGGTGCGGTGGTAGAAGTTCACCGGGTGATCCTCGCTTCCCAGCCATGACATGCCCAAGATCATGTCGAATTTGGTGTCCACAATGTCAAAGGACACCGCCGCACTTGCGTGAGGGGCAAAGTACACTGGGACGTCATCAATGCACCGGTCGATTGACTTGTGCGTGCGACCGTCTGCCAACGTGACTTGCATGGGCTGGGACTTCCTTCGGACTCGTGGGCCAAGGCCGGCGCGTACCATGAAGTCCTGACTCATGTAGTTGCGAGATGCTCCGCAATCGTTCAGAGCGCTGCATGTCGGCTCTCCGATTTGAATGCGTACATATAGGAATGGTGCTACCGTTGTGTCTTGAACTCGTGGTCGATCTTCGCAATGTAGGCGTGAAGGTCGACAGCCTCTACTTCGGCGTCCATCAACGGAGTCGGTACTGCAGTGTGCAAGTAATCCCGCAATTGTGCCTTGAGCACGTTGCAATGCGGTTTCAGCAATCGACCGGACCGGGGAAGGGGCATCCATTGGAAGTCCGCAAATGTCAACGGGGCGAGCTCTTCAAGTCTTGACCATGACGTTGAAATCCCGGCGGTAGATGGCGGCGAAACTGCCGAATCGGTTGCCGATGGTGATGAAACCGTGCATGGGGTAGATTGTTGCACGTGGAGCGGTTGGTCCAGTGGTGGGACCAAGTGGACAGCATAATCCTCGTAAGAACACTGAGAACTTACGACATTCGCATCCTCCCCAGATGTGTAGGAGGTCACTAGCAAGGCGGCTGAATCTGGCGGAGTGGGAGGTGGAGTCGCCTCATCTCCCGCGAAACTCAGTTTCCCGAGCTAAGACGAGGCCGCACATCCTCCTTGGCCTGATCTTGGCAGAGGGAGGTCTTGTGCTTGGTGCTGTTGCACCAGTAGCAGCAGCCGTAACGACCGCGGTACTTGTACTCAGCCTCGGCCAAGTTGAACTTGACCCATGGTACTGGCTGTCCGTTTCCGGCCTGCGATGCTGGTATGGCCTTCCCGTTTACTCGGGGCTTGTTGTTGCTTCGCGGCTGGACAGCAGCCACCTGATCTCCCTCACGTGGCGCTTGGGTGGCTGCCGGGTCTTCCACAGTGTTGTCCGATTGGATTGCAGCGAACTGCTGTTGTCGCGAGTTGGCTGCCACGTTGACTTCTCGTGTGCAGCCGCCCTGTTGGTCTTGATGATCTCCCTCGCCTTGTCAATGATCTCAGCGAAGGTTGCATACTGCTCGCGATCACCAAGTGCCTGGCTCAATGCAGCGCATAACCTGTTGTAGAACTCACGGCGCAGATGCGAAAATGGTAAGTGCGTTGCCGCGATCTTCTGCCATTCCGTGAGCCAGTCACGTGTTGCTGTGTTGCCTTGAGTCATGGTGAAGAGACGGTTAATGGCGAGTGCTGGTGCGTCGCGACGATGAACCGCTTCTTCCACGGCCGTGTTAACTCTTCCCATGAGATCTTGTCTTTCAGATCTGCGACGTCGATGCCGTGGGTGGCTGCCAGGTGGGTTAACCAGATCTGGCATCCGCCCTTTGAGTTCATGAACAGGGCGGCGATGTACACGTGCTTGGCGACAGGCAGAATCCGAAGTTGCGTCGTGAAAACTTCCCACTAGAGCACCGGGTCCTGATGCGTGTAGTCGTCGAACTTCTCAAGTTGAAAAATTGGCATCTTGTATTGCTTTGGATTGTTGCCATCCGTGTTCGTCGACTGCAGTTGCTGGACCTCGGTCTTCAAAGTATCCAGCTGATTGCTGATGGTGGTCGGCGCAGCGAAGGTGCTGATGTCGCCGAGCATTGCGACGACGTGGTCGACGCGTTGCTCCAGTTGGGGGTGAGAGGGTGCACTGCTGGACTCACCAGCATGTGGTCCTGGTACGGCTTGCTCCAGGTCCAATACACGGGAATTGAGTGCCCGTGTAGCATCCTCGTGGCTCTGCACTATCCGGCGGAGGTTCGCCAACTCCTAGTACTGTGTCTTCAGATCCTGGTACTGTTGCTGCAGTTCCTGGTTCTGTCTCTCTAACTCAGACCGTTGGTAGTTGCAAGAGTACAACAACCGTGTCACGGGTTTGGAGAGGAACTCCTTATGCTGCTCTTCCGGTGTCGCGTCGTCGTCGTTGGACCGTTCAAAGTGCCAGAACTTGAGTCTTTCGATGCTGGCAGCTTCATGCCGCTGCAGCAGATCCTGGGCCTCCTTGCGGTGTGCCTGGGTATCAGCGTCTGCTTCGGCCTGTAGCCGCTGCTTCTCAGCTGTTGCCGCTGCTTCAGCCTGTAGGCGGGCAGCCTCGGCTGCCAGCTGGCGCTGTTCCTCAGCCTCGATCAGAGCGAGCTGAGCCTGGMACCGCTGTTTGTAGTCGGCAAGAGACTCGTTGGCCAGTTGGCCTGGCATGCCCAGAGTTGTGCCCGTCATGGTGGCGGGGCACTGCTGACGTGGCACTGTGACGTGGCATTGTTACTGATGTGGCACTGCTGACGTGGCACTGTTGCTGATGTGGCACTGCTGACGTGGCACTGTGTGACGTGTCACTGCTGACGTGGCACTGTGTGATGTGGCACTGCTTGGCAATGCTGACGTGGCACTGTGTGACATGGCACTGCTGACGTGGCACTGTTGCTGACGTGGCACTGCTGACGTGGCACTGTACCAACCCGGAAATGCATGCAAAGGGG